ATGGAAGGGTAACTGATGTGATACAGCAATTTGTATACGGGGTAAAAGCGGGAGTTCATAATCCACTTGAATCAAACAGTGTAATATGATGTATTAAGAACTATGTAATGTTATGAACGACCAATAAAAAAAAAAAGAAGAAAAAAAAACAAAAACAAACAAACAAAAAAGAACATAAGAAGATCATGGAAAACAATTTTATTGACCCATAAAGCCTACTCATTACAGATATTATCATTCTTTTAATTTCAAAAAAAATTCTTGCAGCAAGGAGGATTGTGAATTTGAGGTTAACCTGGATAACATAATGAGATGCCTTCTTGGAACAAAAACAAAAACCAAAAAACCCCCCTTACCATCATTGCTGGGCTCTTCAACAGGAGATGCTGAGTCCATGAGCTCCAGGATTCCCTTTGTGATTTCAACAACTTGAAGCCTTCTGACCCTGACCAGATCTATATCTTTCAACCCTTCCTCTAGTTGTTTGACCACTTCTTTTCCAGGGTGGGAAGTCAGGACAGTAATCTGAAAATAAAATCCAAGAATCAACATGTTTATTTTCCCAGAGGTCCAGAGTGAGGAATATCACAGCAGAAGTCTATGGTAATGGCTATTATGTTTAGTGTAAAGAGGATGATTTAACTGTAACTTACAAATAAAATTTCACTTAATCTTAGCCAAAAGGCCACGAAGTGATACAGACGAATTTCATTTGGCAGATTGTGGTAGAATAGGTAATCAGAACCTTCCAATCAGGCTGAGCCTAGAAAATGACCAGTTAAAAGCAACAACTGTGTTTGACTCTTTTAAGATTGCTTGATGCACTGGTATCATCTCTTTTGTTCAAAATGCTTTAACTTTTACATAAAAACAAAGGAAATAAGACCCTTAAGTTTTACTCACTAGTGTGCATTAAATATTAGGAAGCCTGTTGTTCCTTCTTTCTATAATGCTTCCTTATAGCATTCTTAGACTGATTCTTCCTTTGTTTATCTTGGATCCAGTTAAGGTATTTCTGTTGCTTTTTTTTTTTACTGTAAAATGTGCTAATCTTTTACCAATATATGGGACCTAAAGGAATATTGAGGTGTTTGTGTATAATATTTTATTCCATCTGAATGAACACACTGTATGTTTTTCTCATAAGTTTTGTCTTGGATTTTGAAACTTGAAGGCAATTGTTTTAAAAAAAAGTATATATATATATATATATATATATATATACTTTTTTAAAAAAAGTATTTATATATAAATGTTCCATTAAATTCTATTGTTCCATTAAATTTCACTTGCCAAACACAAATTCCTATATAAAATTATATAGTATCAGGGATTGAACTCAGGGATACTCGACCACTGAGCCACATCCCCAGCCCTATTTTGTATTTTATTTAAAGACAGAGTCTCACTGAGTTGCTTAGTGCCTCACTTTTGCTGAGGCCTGCTTTGAGCTCTTGATCCTCCTGCCTCAGCCTCTCGAGCTGCTGGGATTACAGGTGTGTGCCACTGTGCCCGGCAATTGTTAAATATATGTATTTTTAAAAATATTTAGATGGTTTTTTTGAGAGAGAATTTTTTAATATTTATTTTTCAGTTTTCGGTGGACACAACATTTTTATTTTATTTTTATGTGGTGCTGAGGATTGAACCCAGCGCCCCGTGCATGCCAGGTGAGCGCGTTACCGCTTGAGCCACATCCCCAGCCCATATTTAGATGTTTTTGATTGATGAAGTGGGATGCCTATGAAATCCACAATAATTATTATTTTCAAAAACTTTATTATTTTAGATAAGTTTTAGGTTCAGAGCAAAATTGAGATAGCAAGTGATATCCTAAATGCCCTCTGCCCTCAAACATACAATACCCATTATCAATATCCTCACCAGAGTGTGTATTTGTTGCAATTGATAAACCTACATAGATACATCATAATCATCATAATCATCCAAGTCCATAGTTTACCTTGGGGCTCACTTTTTGTGTGGTACATTTTATGGATTTGACAAATGTACAACTATATGCACCCATCAACAGGTATTTTCATACAGGTAATGTCATACAGGTATTTTCATTGCTCTTAAAATCTTCTATGCTCCACTTATTCATTCCTCCCTCCCCATGGCCCTTGCCAACTACCAACCTTTTACTATTTCAATAATTTTGCCTTTCCCAGAATGACATATAGTTGGAATAATAAATTATATAGACTTTTCAGACTGGCTTCTTTCACTTAGTAATATGTATTTAAGGTTCTATCATGTCTGTTTTGGCTTGATAGCTCATTGGTTTTTAGCAGTGAATAATATCTCATTATCTGGATGAACAACAATTTTATTAAACATTCATCTACTGATGGACATTTGGTTGCTTCCAAGTTTGGCAGTTACAAATGAAGCTATTATAAACACCCATGTGCAGAGTTTTGTGTGGACACATATTTTCAACTCCTTTGGGTAAATATCAAGAAGCACAATTGTTGGATGACAATCCAAGAGTGTGTTTAGTTTTGTAAGAGCCATCACACTGTTTTCCAAAGTGGTTATAGCATTTTGCATTCCCACCATCAAGAATGAGAGTTCCAGTTGCTCCACATCCTTACCAGTATTTGGTATTGTTAGTGCTCTGGATTTTGGCCATTCTAATAAATGTAGAGTAGTATTCAATTGTGGTTTTAATTTGCATGTCACTGATTGAGATATGATGTGGATCACTTTTTCATAAGCTATTGTATACCTTCTTTGATGAGGTATCTGTTAGGTATTTAGCCCATTTTAAAACCAAGTTGTTTTCTTTTTGCTGAGTTCTAAGAGTTGTTTGGATATTTTAGATAACAGTTACTCATCATGTCATCTTCTGGAAATTTTATAGTTTCACATTGTACATTTCAGTCTGTGATCCAATTTGTGGAGGGTGGAAGGTCGGTGTCTAGATGTATTTATTTTTTGCACACAGACATCCAGTTACTTTAGCAAGCTCCGTTTGTTGAAATTTGTTCTATTGCGTTGCCTTTACTCCTTTATCAGAGATCAGTTGACTATATTTTGAGGGCCTATTCCTGGGTTCTCTGTTCTGTTTCATTTATTTGTCTGTTCTTTCACCAATAGCACACTGTCTCTTGATTCTCAGTTTCTGAGACAATAAAATTATGAAGGTTTAGGGAAAAAGTGTCTTCATTTATGTTATGGATTTTTAAATTTTATTTGGTTCTTTCTTAGGAGTTCTCTTTTATGCTTACATTACCTATTGAGGTATCTACTTTATGAATTAGAGCCTTCAGCATGTTAATCTATTCTGTGTCTAGTAGAGCCCTTAGCATGTTATTCATTGCTACTTTCAGTTCTACAGTCTGTCAACATATAAATATAAGCAACAACTTCCCTAATAGAACTCTTAAAGCTCAGGAAATACCAAGAATTAATAAATGGTATGTCATTAAATTAAAAAACTTCTGCACAGCAAAGGAAACAAGAGTGAAGAGAGAACTATATGATGAGAGAAAAATCTTTGCCAGCTACTTTTCTGACAGGATTAGTATCCTAAACATATAAAGAATTTTAAAAATTTACCATCAAAAGAAGCAAATAACCCAATCAACAAATGGGCAAATGAACCAAACAGTTCTCAAAAGAAGAAATGCACATTGTCAGAAATGTATATTGTCAACAAATACATGAAGAAATGTTCAACATCTTTAGCAATTAGGAAAAATGTAAATCAAAACTATACAGAGATTTTAGAATGGGAGCCATCAATAATATAGACGAGGTTGGGGGTATAGCTTAGTTGGTAGAGTGCTTGCCTTGCATGTACAAGGCCCTGGGTTCAAACCTTAGCGCGCGCACGCACACACACACACACAAAGAATATATGACAATAATAAATATATGACAATAATATATGTATATATATATTATATATATGTCATATAATATATGACAATAATAAATGCTGTAGAGGATGTGGGGAAAAGAAACACTTTTACACTGTTGGTGGAACTGTAAACTAGTACAACCACAGTGGAAATCAGTGTGGAGGTTCCTCAAAAAACTAGGAATGGAAACACCATATGACCAAGCTATAATACTCCATGGTGTCAATCCTAGAGAATTAAAGTCAGCATACAAGAGTGATACATGCATACCCATTTTTTTAAAATTTAAATTTAAAAATTTTTACTTTATGATATTGGGATTAGACCCATGGGCGCTCTGAGTTCCACTGAATTACATCCCCACACCTTGATATTTTTAATTTTTTAAAATTTTCTTTTTTAGTTGTAGATGAACACAATACMTTTATTTATTTATTTATTTTTATGTGGTGCTGAGGATTGAACCCAGTGCTTCATGTGTGCTAGGCAAATGCTCTACCACTGAGCCACAATCCCAGCCACATGATATTTTAAATTTTGAGACAGGATCTTGCTAAGTTGCTGAGGCTGGCCTTGAACTCATGATCCTCCTGCCTCAATCTCCTGAGTTGCTGCCAACCTGCTGGATTGCATACCCATGTTTTTAGCAGTAAAATTTACAATAACAGTACAATTTACAATACCAAATTATGGAACTAGCCTAGGTGTCTGTCAATTAATGAATGGATAAAGAAAATGTAGCATATATACACACAATGGAGTTTTATTCAGCCACAAAGAAGAGTTAAATTATGTCATTTGTGGGAAAATCAATGGCTCTTGAGAGCATTATGTTAAGTGAAATAAGCCAAACTCACAAAGTCAAGGGTCAGATTTTTTTTAAACCTATGTGGAAGCTAAGAGAGAAAAAAAAGGGGGAAAAAGGACGGGGGATCTTATGAAAACAGATCAATAGAACAGAAGAAGGAAATGAGGAGATTGGAGAGGAAGGGTACTGAAGAATGACATTGACCAGATTAATTGTTATATTGTATGCATGTATGAACATGTAACAATGAATTGCACTATTATGTATAATTATAACATACCAATAAAATTTTTAAAAAGTTAAAAAGACTAGACCCCAAAGCCACACATAAAATTTATCACTACAGCCAGTTACAGTGGCAAATGCTTATAATTCCAGTGACTTGGGAGGCTGAGGCAGGAGGATCATAAATTTGAGGCTAATTTAGTGAAACCCTGTCTTAAAAAATAAAGAGGACTGGGGATATATCTCTGTGGTAATGCACCCCTTGGTTCAATTCCCAATATTAAAAAAAAAAAGAGTTTGGTATTTCTTGTCCTCCATATCAGTTAAGCTCTGATAAAACCCCAGCAGGTTGGGTTCTATTGAACTTGTTTCTCCTGAGGGCACAACTTGTTAAAAAGAACAGAACACTCTTCCTCTCCAGTCTGAGGTATGAGGGAATTTTGCCCTGATATTTACTATGAGAGTCTTATACTTCTGAAGGCAAAACTCCCCAAATTGTGGGCCAGCTTTCATGACAGGGTGTCTCGGGAGTTTTTAACTTTCAGACTTGTCCATATCTATCCTCCAGCAATTCGTCAATTAAAGTTCAAGTTTTCCTACTCCAGCTCTGGTTCCAGTGGAGATTTCTCATCCAGTATGTTGTGATTTTCTGTATCTGTCTGTGTCTAATTTTGGAGGCAGTAGTTTGTTTGCTTTGTGATCTTAACTTCTCTTAGGGATCCAAACAAAGTTGTTAACCTTTGAGTTTGTTTAACATTTTGCTAGTTGTTAGGATGAAGTGGTGACTTCCAAGTTCCTTACATGTAAAACTGGAAACCAGAAGTCTCTGCAATTATTTTTTAATGCATCTGTTTGCTGTCCGAGGTTACCAAAGGCTGAAAGTGTTTAACTCATCTCCCTTATATATCCATGGAATATTCAGCCATGACTTATTTATATTTTTAAGATTTTCTCAATCTGGCACCAGAATAGTAGATGTTTTACATTTGCATAATTGCTAATCTCAAGAAACTTTACTTCATTTGATGACAAAATTTGACTAAGAACTATTTCAAGTTCCTAAAGGTACTCAGGTAATTATATATATCAATCTAGGAAGCTTAATATTTGGAAGTTTCAAAAATCTGAGGCAGATGGAATATTCAGATTTTATTTTGATTCAGTTTTTCCTTAATTCACTTTAGTTCCTATTTTTGACCTTCAATTTTTGACAATCTGCATGTTAAAAATCATATATGATATATATCTTCTGTTTGCAGGGAGCTGAAAATTTAGCCTTGAAAATTATATTCACTGGATGTAGTGACCCATACTTCCAATCCCAGTGGCTTGGGAAACTGAGGCAGGAGGATTGTAAGTTCAAAGCCAGCCTCAGAAACTTAGCAAGGCCTTAAGCAACTTAGCAAGAACCTGTCTCAAAAAAAAAAAAAAATTGAAAACGGGCTAGGGGTGTGACTCAGTGGTTAAGTGCTCCTAGTACATAAAAAAAAAGGAAAAATTACATTCAATGTGTATGAAACAGAGAACAATACAAGGATTAAGGATTATAAATAATGAAACGAAACACCTATCTAGACCAAAATGGGAGGATGGCTTTGAGTCTTAAAGGCCAGCATCTCTTACCTCCAGGGAAGTGTAGGGCAGAGCAGCACCTGTGGTCACATATCTGCTGTATTGTTTGAATTGCTGGAGTCCATCCTGTATTGCCAGCTGTAGAGAAGTGCTTTGTGGTCGGAAACAACCTTCTGTCTCTATCATGCGAAGCTCTGAGATGCAAGCCTTCAACCTAACAAAGTTCCCTTTTACTTGCTGCAGGAAAAAAAATCAATAAAAGACACAAATTTTCAGTGACCCAAGTTTCAGATTAATTGGCAGTCTAACTTCCTTATCAATTACTCCTCGGTAGTTCCTTTCCTGAAAAATCTGTTCATCTGACCAATAGGTACTGAATACCTACTATGCACTAAAATCTTACCTATGCCAAATGAAGGAAAACTTTTAGCCAAAAAGGTTTTGTGTAGATTTATCAGATATAGGAAAGAGAGTGTTATATATTTATTTAAATAAATAACCTTTATTTTTCAGAACAGTTTTAAGTTTATAGAGTTGAGAGTTTCCACATACTCCCTTTCTTTCAGCTCATTTTCTCCTCCGTTAATAATATTTTTACATCAGTATGGCATAGTTGTTATATTTAATGGGGCAATATTGATACAATATTATTAACTCAAGTCCATAGTTTACATTAGAGTGCATTCAGTCCTTATGTTGTACAGTTCCACTGCTTTCAATCTACTATTATATATCATCTAGAAAATAATTCTGATTTATTAATCTGTAAATTAAGGAACATATCCAAAAGATTAAATAAAATTTAGATTTTAGATTTGTGGTTCTGCATCTAGCAAGGATTCAAATAATTGAAAAGACCATTTATTTTTGTATTAACTTTAAAAAACTTTTATTGGTACACAATAATTATACAAATGGTGGGTTTCTTTTTTTATTAGCTACACATGACATTACAATGATCTTGGCAATTCATACATTTGAATCATTGGGGTATAATTTCTCATTTTTCTAATTGTACAGATTGCAGAATCACACTGGTCATAGAGTCACACACACACACACACATATATATATATCTATATCTATCTATCTATCTATCTATCTATCTATCTATCTATCTATCTATCTATATATATAGCAATCTTAATGTCTATTCTATTCTGCTGCCCTTCCTATCCCCACTACTCCTCCCCTCCCCTCCCATCATTTCTCTCTATCCAATCTAATGTGAGACACTTTTTTTTTCTTTTTCTCATCACAACCTCATACATGTATTCTGTATAACGATGAGGTTCCCCTTCCATCTTCCGTGCAACTCCCCTTCTCCCTCTTTTTCCCTCCCACCTCTCTTCCCTAAAAATGGTGGGTTTCATTGTGGTATATTTGTATGTGCATGTAACATAATTTGGTCAATTTAATCCACCCTGTACCTTCCCTTGCCCTCATTCCTCCTCCTGTTTTCTTTCCTTTACCCTACTGATCATCCTTCTATTTTTATAAGATTCTTTTTTTTCTTTTTTTCTCTCTAGCTTCCACATATGAGGGAAAACATATATCCCTTGACTTTCAGAGTCTGGCTTACTTCACTTAACATGGTGGTCTCTTTAGCTCCATCCATAGGAAAGGAAGTGTTTAATTCATTCATTTACCCAATGGAAGGTCCAGTTGTGACTGCTGAGTTTTAATTTGTGTAATCTGCAAACTGGAGGATTAGCAGGGTTACCCTTAGACATTACCTTCATTTCTCAGTCCACCACAGAGCTTCTCTACTTAAGAATCTTGTTTTCCCAGAAATGAGGACTTTGATATGGTTGATCATTTCAGAATCAATAAAGTTCTGCCTAATCATTCTTCAGGATCATTTCAGTAAAGAAGAGATGTTTGGTATGGTTTGCAGTAAACTTAAGGAGCTAACATGTAAACCCCAGACAAGTAACCTCTTGGTTCTTCTCATACTTTTTTTTACAAAAACTTGCTCTTAGGAAACAATATAAATTAATCTGATTTTAGGTCAATGTTACTTCTTCTAAGGATATATGCATTTTGAATAGATGCAGTCTGAAAATTTGTGTCACCATTTGAAGGGATTCCATGCATCAGTGGAAGGCAGGGGGTAAGAAGGATTTATATTTTGGGATGGGGAAACCTTTTTGACCAAAGAACAGAACTGAGTAGTATCTACAATGCTCATAAAATCCTTGAGCTTGAACTTCAATCTGCCAGGGTATGAATTTTGTTTAAGTCAACTCCTGACTTGTTTGGGGTTGCTTCCTTTATTTACCTTTTCCTCTTCCTGAATCTTGGGCAAAATATAAGCACCTGGAAATAATTCTGATACAAAAAGAACTCATAATCTAGATATGGAGATAAGGAAATATTTAAGAAAGAAATGAGAACAAATCAGGCCTTAAGAATAGCCTAATAGGTTTTGAGCTTTCTTCCCTCAAACATCCCAAAATAATCTGAAAAGCCATATAAAACTTCATACATCTTAAGTTGACACCTAAATTTTAAAATTCTAAATGTAAGGAGTTGCTAAAGATGGAACTTCCAGCACATTTTAAAATATTAACATTTTAAAATAAAAATATTTATCCTACAGGAAGCAACTATATAAGTGCTATTCATTTGGGGCAGCTGCCAGGCTGGTGCCTCAACCTTCTTGACCACTGATTCAAGTGGTGGACATGGAATAAGTTCTAGTAGGCCACAATCTCTAGTCATGGATGGGGACCTTCTGGGGCAGTTGCTAAATTACCACCTGTGGTCATTGCTGTCCTTGCTATGCCAGAATGAATAACAGGACAATCAGTACTTCTAGAGCCTTCTATGCTGGGTATCAGAGCCTGCTGGAGGCTGCTGTCCAAGTAGCATTTACATGGCAGAAAAGAGAATAGAGTTAATTAACAATATTGAGATACAAAAATTCATCTCCAAAAAAGCAGATTAACTTTTTGCACTTTCCTAGAAATCAGATGTACCTACAACTTCTAAAGTTAATGAAGACAATGTAGATCATTATGCAGTCATCCCACTTTTAAAGCAAGTCATGGGAATATTTAATGTGGAGGGGAATGAGCTGTTTTTCCAAGATATTGAAAATGGTGATGTAGTGATTGAAAGAATTAATTCTACTTTGGGAATTTTGTTTTTTCATTGTATTAATCTGTTTAGGAAGTGGCATCACAAGAGACATATCCCACTTAGAAATCACAGTTCTTTGTCCATTAAGAGATATGCCTTTTCACAGTCACCATGGGGATCCTTTATCATATTACCAAACTGGTGACATTATTCAAAATGGAATCAAGGATTTTGGCAGATTTCATGAAAAACTAGCAGTGTCTCTTTATAGCTCATCTCTTTCGCCACACCTATCTGGTTATTAAACTAGGTGTAATTACTTCTGAAGAGCTTCCTTTGTAATATAGAAGGAGTGTTGAACTAAATAGCAATTCTCTAGATTCCTATGAAAATATTATACAGAGATCTCCGGGATTTGTTAATCCAGAATTAGTTGAATTCCTTCTGGGAAAACCAGGAATAGATGAATCTAATACATCATCTTTAATGAGAAGTCTATAAAGCAAAAATTTCTCTGAAGATGATTTTGCTCCTGCATTAAGAAAAAATTTGTCTGCAGTTAGGCTTTAATATGTGTGAATACTGGAGTTAACTATTTTAAGGTTTAATGCCATGTGGATGCTATGAATGGATACAATAAAGCTCCGGAAATAGGTAAGCAAAATATGGAAGGTTTGGTAGCTCAAGGAACATTATACATGACAAAAGGAAATCTAAAAAAGTCCAGAAGATTTTAAGCTTGCATTAGAAAACTGTCCAACTCACAGGAATGCAAGAAAATACCTCTGCCAACTACTTGTAGAAGTTAGAAGAAGAAAACTTTTTAAATTCTGAAAGTTACTATAAGAAAGTTTTGGCTTTGGATGAGATTTTAAAGATACAGAGGACGCTTTGCAGAAACTTTGTAAATATATGCAGAGAAAAAAGTTGAATAGGAAGAAAAGCAGAAAACAAAGAAAACAGAAACAAGTGAAGAAAACAGAAACAAAAGCAGAAAACAAAGAAAACAGAAACAAGTGAAGAAAACAGAAACANGAAGAAAACAGAAACAAAAGCAGAAAACAAAGAAAACAGAAACAAGTGAAGAAAACAGAAACAAAAGCAGAAAACAAAGAAAACAGAAACAAGTGCTCTTAAAAGAAGAGAAAAAAGTAAAAGAAGAAAAGAAGAAAGTTATCTTCTTCCTCTTCAGTGTTTCTTCTGCATATAAGTCTGTTTCTTCCTCATCCTCTTCCTCTTGAGGTCACAAAAGGCATAAGAAACAAAAGAGGAACCTTTCAGAGTCTTCTGGCAGTTCCAAAAGGCATTCATCTAAAGCATCCTCAGGTCAGATTGATCAGAATAGGAAAGATGAGAGCTAGCCAACTCCAATTAATACTTCAGTGTTTTTTTCTTAACCAAAAACAAGAAGTGGAAATCTGCTGGAAAAGCAGGATGGTTATATTGTCAAAAGACACAGGTAAAAGAGAAAGACACAAGCCCTCTTTTTTCATCTTCAGTTGATATACCTGAAAATTTTGGAGCAGGACTGAAGATCCAAGAGATTTTTACAATAGCTATAAAACCCAGGCAGGTAGTAGTGACATAGAAAAGCCATATAAATAAGACATTTTTCCAGTAGAAGAAATACCTCAGATTCCTTTTTTAGGTAAGATAAAATGTATAGTTATAGGAGATTTTAAAAGGATATAGAGGGAAGAAAAGAGTACCATAGAAGGTGTACCGAGTTCCATGAGGTATTCCGCTCCACCAGAAAGTTCAGTTGAAACACCCCCCACCCCCCACCCCAACATACTTATTCTGGATCACATGATTTCAGTAGACATGAGTAAAGGTATCAGGTAAATACATCAAGGAGAATGTGAAACAGAGGGCAATTTGGGGCAAGATAACAAAACAGAGAAGATAACAAAATAGAAGATAACAAAACAGAAGAAGATGGACTAAATAGCAAAGAGCAGTTCAGAAAGCAGAGTTTAAAAATTTACTTCAAAATTTACTCAATATATTTAGTCAGCTGAATTTGAGAAAGAAAAAGGAAATAAGCCAAAAATTAATATGTCATGGAAAGATACACCGTTACAATAAATGCTGTTAATAAAAGTTTTGAGGGTGTTTTAGTTTATAACATTCTGATGCAGAAATATCTGCTT